CCATGAAAATACAAATGACAGTATCGATTACGAATGAAAGAACAGAGAAAATGACGGCGATTGAGCAGACCAAGCCTTGATAGCGTCTCACCACTTTTCCTAGTCTCCTAACTCCTCTTAAGTAGGTGTATGGGTGGTTCTTATCTAGAAGGGCTTGAAAATGACTGTAATGAATAATGGAGGTGGAATAGGGGACCTAGAAAGGGACATAGGACTAACAGAGGATTCCCAAAATGGATAGAACTGAACTAGAATCTCGACCTAGTCCTAATCTCGACCTAGGTTTAAACCTAAGTTTAACCTTGACCTAGTCCTAATCTCGACCTAGTCCTAATCTCGACCTAGTCCTAATCTCGACCTGGGTCTAATCTCGACCTAGGTTTAAACCTGAGTTTAACCTTGACCTAGTCCTATCCTTGATCTAGTTCTAATCTCGACCTGGGCCAAGCCTAATCTATGTCCAAACCGATGTGATTTGGATCATTAAGCTAACCCAGACACCTAATAGGATCTAATCTGACTTGATCTCTATATGGCCGAGTCCTAGCTCTGACCAAGATTATTCTGAGCATAACCCCTGTTGCAATCCAGGCTAAACAAGACCTAATATCGATCTGAATATCTGCAGAGAAACAGTGAAAATAGCTGGAAGAGAATTTACCAATATCATTCTTGTTCGTATTGTAGAAAGCGTTCACGACCGCAGGTTCTGTGGACCACTTGTCCCTATCGACCGGTTTCCGTAGTTTCTGTAGATTGTGATGAGCGTCGTATTTCGCCACCGCCAGAACGTTCTCTAAGAAGTGATCCTCAGTGATACGCAGCTGAACAACGAAAGACAGGCTTAAAGTGTGTTACAACACGCCGGTATCTTGTCATAGGTGTCACGTACCACCACGTACTCGTTGGAGAGTTCAACTGGGTCCTTCAGGAATTCTGGATATCCGATCCTCTCGATCATGGAGTCGGCTTTACTTTTCGCGACGGCTCTGGTCTCGTCGTCCATCCAGTGGTTCTCTGCCAGGAGCTCGTTGAACGCCTCCCGAATAGTATGAATCATCTCAAGCGCAGTTTTCTGGGAATCAAATGATCGTTCAAAGAATACGAAAAAAAGAGGCCATTAACGTGACCACTCAAATGGCGAAGGTATTTTCGCTGGGTTAGAGTAGCCAAATTTATTTTGCTTGCCCCCACGAAAAATAATGAGGACATTTTTTATGGCCACCTTAACTGGAACGTCTTTAAAGATTATCATAAATGGAATACTTGCTACCTTGCTTTCGTGATTGAAGTTGTCACGTATGAAAAGAGCACCCACAGCCATGCCTAACTTCTTATTCGTCCAATCAACACACTGAGACCATCTATTTCGCTCGCTTAATATGCCCTGAAGGATCTTCCGAAATTCAACCCTTTTTTGCTGGTAGTCGTCTATCATGTGGGGCATTATCGACATGACCAATCGCCAGAGTATATAATTATGTAGGGTTCTATAACACATTGTCAGTCCTTTATTGTTTCACACATGACTGTATAGGGTAGGCCATTAAAAATTACCACCTCGTACAAAAGTTATTTAATATAAAATAGGGTTGTCATATATGACGATTCTCTTGCGAAACAACTATTATTCGACAGAAATCTCCCAAACAATTTCATCCCCCAAACACGTTCAAGCCATAAGGTACCTCGTTACCTGCGATCTGTTCTCTCCACAATACGAACCATCTCCACGAAATAAGGCATGGCGTACGCCACGATTGGTTCCTCCTCGGTAATCGGAACACTGATAAATGCCTCGAGGTAAGCCCGCCACTTAAACAGCGGTATCTCATGCTGCAGCTCGCGCAACGTCAGCTTACGATACATGGCGGATGTGTCGTGTCTATCTGCTTCTGGCAGTGACGCCTTAAAAGTCATTCGAAAATTGAGTTGAAGTGAGGTGCATCATACTCTCGAGGGATTCCTGGACTCATCTTGCCTTAGACATAATATGGTAATAAGACCAAAGCTGAGGAATATTGCAAGTAGACTCAATCGAGTCTTCAAGACCAGGACTAAAGACACATAAGGACTTAAAGGTAACAATGGGTAGCAATAATTGTTAAAGGGTACTGTAGGAGATCTGATGGGACAGGCGGTCTGTGGACGCGTTACTCCCAGTCGCTTGGGTTTTTGGTAGCGGCCGCTAGATGGCGACTTTTCTCGCAAGCAGAAAGTAGAGCCTTTGGCTACTTAAGGGACTCCGCTGAGTAGCAACCCAGGCGTCTAGGGTAGAGGTCGTATACCGTGAGCCCCACTGACGAGTCTTTGTAGACGATTCCAAAGACGAAACGCCATCTTTTTGATCCGCCTACAGTACGATTTGATCATCCAGTCGTCCAAGAATCCCTTTCTCAGAGAACAAACTGACCACGGCCCAATACAAAAGGATCAGATTACGTTCTCACATTGGCCAACTGTTTCTCCAAAAGGATCACTTGCTCGAACTCCTTCGCCGCAGTCCTGGGATCCGCCCCGAGCAACACTGCGACATTGGTCATGTAACGATGGTACGCGTTCAGCTGGGCCTCGCTATTCTTCTTCAGGTAGTAGTCCCTACTCGGCAACGCCAGCTGCATCTGATCCAACTGCGGACAATGTACGGGATCGTTAGCCAAACAAAGACTTGGGCCTAGATGAAGACCCGGTGTATCGAGAAACTGAATCGATGCGTTCCGTTCAGAAACGCTAACTTAATCTCGTTACCACCCATCGGTCCTCATTTTTTCCAGTTGGAATTCTTATACTCTGCAGACGTCGACCAAGGGGCCTTACTTTGCCGGCGCACCTGGAGGATGTTGGCGGAGGAATTCTTGTCGTCCGGGCCGACCCATTGCTCCAGCAAGACACCCTCGTTGTACTCGCCGCGTAGTCGACCCAACAGGACCTCGATCGTGAACGAGGGCGGTTTCCAAGACGGGCCCACCACCGCTGGCCATCCCCCAAGTAATAGTAGAGCCCTTTTCAGCGGGGCATCACCGGTCTTCCTAATCCGAGCTGTCACAAACATTGAAACACTCAGGGCACTGACACTAACTGCTGATTGTCTATCGTGAAGTCTGCTACCGGGTGTACCAGCAAGTAATTCATCACTGAATGGAACAATTCACGTGAAGTCTAAATTCAGCGGGGCCTTGTCAGTGGCTTGTGTCATGAACTTGGCGGTGTTGGGAGCTACTGACAGTGGGTTCTTTACATGATCCCTACCATTGGTTCTTGGGAGAAACTGAGAATAGTCTTTTGACGCGATTGGCTACCATTGATTGTTGGGAACAACTAGCTGCTGGCTTTTGACGTGATCGCTACCATTGGTTGTTGGGAACAACTAGGTATAGGCTTTTAACGTGGTCGCGACCATTGGCTATTGGGAGCAACTGAGAATATGACTTTCACATGATAGCTACCATTGGCTATTGGGAGCAACTGAGAATAGGCTTTTAACGTAATAGCTACCATTGCTTGTTGGAAGTAACTGGGAATGGACTTTTAACATGATAACTACCATTAGCTGCTGGGAACAATTAGCCTTTTCACATGATAGCTACCGTTGGCTATTGGAATCAACTGAGAATAGGCTTTTGGCATAATAGCAACCTTTTGCTGTTGGGAGCAACAGAGAATGGGCTTTTAACATGATAACTACAATTGGTTGCTGGGACCAATTAAGAATAGCCTTTTCACATGATAGCTACCGTTGGCTATTGGGAGCAACTGAGAATAGGCTTTTGGCATAATAGCTACTACTGACTATTGGACGCAACTGGGAATAGGCTTTTGACATCATCATTGACTGTTGACTAAACCAGCGAACAACTGAATTACTCGTTGGTACGTGTAGCAGAGATAGGCGACTGTTCGATTGGTGCACGCGATCGACAAAAATTTTCGTTGTACCCACGGATGTCCATGCACGACTTGTAGAACATCTTCGCCTTCAGGGTGGCAGCGTTGTCTTTACTGTTCGGCGCTTCCTCTAGGACCCGCTTCAGGATCACTTGTAACTGGTCCGCTAGCACCTCGAATGTGCTGATCGAGCTACGATCCTCTGGTATCATGTGCACCTGGTTCCACGTGCCGCAGGCGTATTGAAAGAAGTTCACGCAGGGCGCCGCTGTTCGATCCATCGCTGACAGTAAACTCGCCGCTGGAAGACATGTATAAATAGAGATTGCCTCGAAAATCGCTCGCCTGTTTCAGCTACAGTAAATTCACGATGAGTGTTCGAAGGTTCCTCGGCACTGAACATTAAATATTTCGTGAACTAATGGTCAAATGCGGTTGAAACAAATATCATTCGCTTCGGGATTCCAAGCACTACCACTATATTAAACCTTATTAAAAAGTCAGCGTTGCATCTCGGGATCTCTGCTTGTCAGTGCCAAGAAGCCTTCGAACACTCATCGAGGATTTATTGCACTTAGGAGGTCCCGAGTTGATCTTTTTTATTGAAGTCTGTAAATGATTCAATAATACCAACTGTAAATGTAATATTGTTGCTTTAAACGTGAAAGTATTGTTTAATAAACTAAATTCTTTTTTAAGAAATGGTATATGTTCATTCATTATTGGACCTCTCTAGTTTCATTAACTGTATATTCGCTAGTTTTGGGAGTAACTTTCACCAGAGGTTTTGGTAAGAATTAAAAAGTATGGATTGTGTTATGTATGTAAAATTAAATTGAATTCACTGACTTTGAAGTTCTGAAAAGTGCCAGTTGGCGCTCACATGACGCCACCGTGACGTCATCGCTCATCATAGTGTTCCAAAAAATTTCTTCTGTTTTATTTATTTATTTGGTATTTATGATTCAAATAGAATTATAAAAGATGAAAGGTAGATGGTGTTTCGTTAATGCAATTCAACTTTCGATATTTCTAAATCATAGTTTAAATTGGTTTAATCGCACCCGGTAATTTTGTGGAGGATTAATATCCCCGACCGGGCTAATCGAGTGAAAACCGGGCTCGCTGCGATCTCAGGATTAATTAAACCCCCGATAAATTATCTTTCACGGATAACGAGGTTCCTCTGGAATATTGCGACACCGAGCTCCCGGATTTTATTACCTTGAGCCAATAAAAAAATTGGTTCAAAAATCAACTTTTTAATTTCCTCTTGAAGTTTCTACACACGTTTTTACCTTGTAAACGCAAAAGCGTGGGAAAATAAATTAATTGGAAAAATGTATATCAGAATAAAAATATGTAATTATAAAAATGGTATGAAATCAAAATCAAGAAATTTTTAATATTGTATGTGTTTAAATTTACATTTCTTGGGAGATTTGAATCATTTGAAAATTCATTGTAAATCTTTTGTCGTGTTTTTGTATACCTTAAAAAAGTTTTCAAGTTAAAATATAGTCAAAGGAAGTGTTTCTTTTTTTCAATATTACGTCGGAGAACTTGTTTTCCTGTTTAAACTTCCGTGCACGATCGCATGAAAACCGTCCCCGCACACGCTACCCGCGCATTATTTCTCTGCATTTTTAAAATTCAGGTCGAGCATGCTATTCTCTTCTGCTTTTCGCGTAGAATCCACGCTTAATTAATGCTTTTTATTCTCAACCAGGCGGTAGAAAGACGCCAATTATACAATATTAAAGGAAAAATAATTCGCTCCGCGGCGTGTTTATTACCCCTTCCACTTTATTTTCTAAAGTTCAATTTTTCACGAGAGAAAATTACTACCAAAATGAAGGAAAAACGTATTATTATTACTCTTTGGATTCTCAAACGGTAATAAATGCGATTAATCCACTATTTTCATTAGAAAACTATAATATTTTTTTAATTTCACAAAGTTTCCCGCTCTCTGTTTAACTAAAATGGCGTCAGATAACGGCGCCCAATAAAGGATATATGTATTGCTATTCAGCGTGTTATACGAGGGTTATCTTTACTAAAATTGTTTTAAACAACAACAACACGAACGTGATCCTTTAACTATTCTAAAAGTATAATCCTTAGTTTCGTATAATACGAATTCCCATAACAGTCATTCTCAAGAACCTAATCACCGTGTTATACAAGGGTTACCTGTTTTAAATTGCTAAAGAAACAAAAATGCAAAGTTATTTAACGACGCATTACGATTTTTTTGACGACTGTACTTTCAAGCATTACATTATCGTTAATAATTTCCCACATACAAAGAAATTTTATTCTCAGGGCAAGTGTATCATTTACTCTAAATCATAAATATTAATACCAATGAAACAGAATTTCACTTGGACTCAAAGAAAATGACTACTATACATATCTATTAAGTCCAGTTTGTTATTAAGTACAGTTGTATATTAATTAATATATCGAACATAGTCAAGAGTAGGTAAAGGATTAAATTGAAATTCCCTTCGATTTCGTTCACCCGTCGAAATCAATTATTTCGTTTCCAGATGATAGATCCTGTCAGACGACGGTGGAAGGGGGATTAAAAAAAAAAACTTGACTCACTGCGCAGAAACCGTGGCGTCTGAACGCCGAATACATGTCGCGCGACGTAATATTCGTGTGGCGACCGAGGGAGCGAAATCCAATCAGATCGGCGGGAACTGATTGGTGGTCACTGGGAATTGCGTTTGTGCTGTGACGGAACGCGTGCAGGTCGCGAGCGCGCGCGCGCAGGCACGCCACTACGAAATCGGATTAACCGATCCCAACGGAATTGCTTGTTGACCGTAGGAGGGTGGCGAGTCAGCCTCGGAATTCGATTTTCCGTTTTCCCGCGAATTCGACGAATCGACTCGATTGATGATCCGACAGTGGCGCGGGATTTAATTGTCAGAACGGAGGCTTGGGAATGCTGACTCGCGTTTTCGATTGTTATTTATCCCTACCTAATGGAGAAATGTTTTTTGTTTTATATGAAATCAAGAGTTTAAGCATATTTCGAACATTTTTTAAAACATATTTTTTTTATATAAACAATGCGTTTGTTCAGGATAAATAATGAGTTAGTGGTGATAGTAACATCGTTTTTTTAATGTTTGGACTCGTTTGTAGAAATTTCGTACTGCTGATCGTCAAGAAATCTTCCAAATATTGTCACCAAAGTAATAATTTATAATGCAGATTCTTTTGCGAAATGACATTTTACAAATTGATTCGTATAGATAAGAAGAAAAGTAGGGATTTGTTTCTTTATTTAAGGATCTTATTGAGTTACGGATTAAATAGAAAATTGGTTGCACCTGATGGAAGTTATGTCTTTCACTGAAATACATATTCCTGTAGTGAACCCATGATTTTTGAACTAGTCATTGGGTACGTCGACACTTGCTCACCCATTTATTGTACAGAATTTCATATTATATGTCCTAAACTTTGTATAACATCAGAATTTGAAACATTTTCCCGTCTTTTCTTTTATTAAAATGGCGTGTTGCGTAGAGAAAGTAGGAGAAATGGAATTCAAAAAATGACTTGCAATTTTTAAAGACAAATATCGAATTTGAGCCTTAAACCGTTTTAAACCGTCTGTGTGCTATCTGGGTATAAATATACCATAATTTATTTAAAAGAAATAGTGAACTAAATATTGTTACAACTAATGCAAAGTAAAATTGTTAAGTAACAAACTTTTTCTTCGCTGAAAAATATACGTTGATTGATAATAGTATGTAATTTTACCTGTTCTGACGCATTCCTCCGTCATGCAGACGTTCGGACCTGAAACAAAAACGAAGTCTCTAACCAGCCGCAGCATTAAAGTCACCAGACAAACAAAAACCGTCATTCCCCCTCCTTCTGTTAATGACCCGTGAGCTAATTTGCGTTAAAAGCAAAACGCAATTTTCCGTTTCGCGAAATTCTCTTGTTTCTACCACCTGATGCTCGAGACAAAGGCGGCATTGTTATGCGCCTCGTGCTCACGAATGACGCTCCGCTATGTGTCCTTCTGCGAAACACCGTGCACCGTTTTGTTCGAACAGTTTGCGTACAAATTCCATCCTAATTTTCTAGCAATTCATTTCAATCGACATTCATGCTCTTTTATTTCGTGGGGAAAAAATCGAGGGAAATTTTGTATTACCTGCAAAACGATCTGATAAGATGTATTGATCGATAAATTATTTTTAAACAATTTGTCTTAATAAATCTAACTAAGCAAACTATTCGACAGGGTTTTCAATTTGCAAACGAAAACAGATTAATTTCAATGTATTAAAAATACCTTATGTAAATGTTGGAATAAATATTCTAAATACTGATTTATTTCTGCGAATTTCCGTACGCATATTTTATCGTCTGAAATTGTGTGCAGTTAAAAATTGAATGAATATATTTTTAACAAGTTTGTATTTCATCGAAATTTATGTTTGCACAAACATTTCCATTCTACCAACGAGCATACTTTCATTAGAAAGTAAAACTAATTTTTGCTTCTGTTCAACTTTCTATAAAAACGAAAGGAATCGTGTTAACTGTGACGTGAATTCTAGGCCTTGGTAAAATTTATACGGGGCAATTCATCGAGTTCGAAAGTTTCGGATATAATATATTATAAATGACGGTCCTATTTCGCAGGAGCGTTTATGGATGTCAGCGAAGCGATTAATTCTGCCAGTGGCTATGAGGTAATACGGCGAAGCGGCCTTTTCGAGTGGAACTTGATTGCCTCGACTCAATTCGATTCGATTCGGCTGATCGATGTTCATTTCTGACACGAACACCGCTCAACGTTAAAAGGTGCGCTCTTTCCACTACGAACTTTCGTTTCGAAGAACATAAATTTCATTTGTTGTTCGCTTAACACTCTGATAATGGAATAAAAAACGTCAGCAATTTTTTTCTCTTAAAATGGTGTCGAAAATAAATATGGCGTTAAAAGTGCCATTATACTACGTCTGTAAAATTAATAAAATTTAAACGAATAATATTTTTTTTTGAAAAGATTCTAGTGGATTACAACGTACTCTCTCTATAGTTCCGTTGCTGGGGCCTGACAGCGTGCTTATAGAGAGGTTCGCATAGCGTGATTATAAGGAGAGTATAGACAATTATAAAAAAAGTTAATAATAATCATCTAAGTATGTAATCGTTTAAATACAATCAAAGGGATACAGTTTTGTAAATCAGGTTAGTGTACCCTTCAATATTTCATAAGTGGTGATCAGTAGCAACAAAATTACGTAGGGTATTAAGCTATTAACAGCTCTGTCATAAAATATTATAGTAGTATCCATCATAAGGAGTCTCATTGTATCATCGTTATTCAATTACCGGAGCCATTAAAATTAATGAACCCCTCCATGTCTGGATCTACCCGAAATCGATAGCAATTTAATACCTCTGAGTGAATTTCGTTGATATTGAAGCTATTGGTCCAATGAAACTTGTAACATCATTTAATCAGACGTGATTAAATTCGTTATAGGCTGTTTAATACTCTTTTCTTTCAGATAGATTAATCAAGCAACACCACAATTACCATCAAGAGTAACAGGTAAAAAGGGCCCCAAGATCTTAAGTTGCGTCTGCCTTTTATAACTTTGTTATATAACATATTTTTATAACTTCTTACAAAATTCTACTTTCTGGGCGAGTCTGTAACAAGTTTGTATAACATTTCGCATCTCATTATTTAATAATAAACTCTCGTTGAATAACATATAACTTGCTAAATAATACGAAAAATGTTATACAACATATTTTTCTCTGTTTTTCTAACAATTTTTCTAACTTTGCTATATAGTGTAAACGCAGCGTTAGACCTTAAGACTCGAGGGACTGGTCCTAAAAATCCAAGGGAAAAAAAAGTGCAATGTATAAGACTGATGTAGAATTCCCTCCTACAATTTTCTAAGGTGACATCAAAATTGTACGGAACTATGGTGATGTCAATCTAATAAATTTTCCAAACACTTATATTAATGCAACTTTGCGTGAAATAACGTTATGCAAATAAAACAATTTCTATTCCGTCTCCCATAAAATCGCCATGACCCTTTACGTGCGTGCCAGTATTATTTCGGCATAGACGCCACTAATACCCAATTCAATCGCAGACTAATCCATAGCAAACACCTAACGGCCACGTCCCAGCGTCTCTAATCCCAACACTATCGGACCCCAACACCTAGGCGCGCGTTTAAAGACGGTCGACCGCCGCTTAATTAAACCGAATCGTTGTCTGTATAACTGGCGTCGTTTAGGGTTCAATTCAACTCACGGGTCTCCTGGACGCACTCGCGGCTCGTGTTCAGCGCCAGCAACAGAAGAATGAAAAGGCAAGTAGCGAACAAAGTGACGGCCAGAACACCGAGCAATTGCTGCCTGCTGGCCGGCTCTCGCCGTCTACGAGTGATCGACGTGGCCCTTGTTATGCCGCCGATCGGCCTTCGACTGTTCCCAGGATGGTGGAGCACCGTGGTGGTCGTGTTTCCATGAGGACCGTAGGTCACCTGTAACCAGATCATCATTTTTCTTTCCATTCCTTCGCGAACAATCTTGGGCTCACTGACCCCATTGGGTATTAATTTTTAATTTTGGATTATTAAATCTTTAATTAGGAGAATAGAACATAGTGATAGTTAGGGGATGGAAGACTTGCGAGGTGAAAGATGAATGGGGTTGGTTCCATATTCATATCAAAGATAGCAATTTAGTAGCACAGAGTGGTTGTAAATATTAAGGGTCAGTTACTGAGGGAGAGACGAGTGTTAATGGGTATATAAAGAATATATAAGAGTCTAAAATAAATGTCTTACCGTCGCCATTGTAAAGGAATCAGTGATCTACTATTTTTCCTTCCAATGAGGACTACACACTGGTTAACCTAACAGTTTTCAGTTATGAAGAAGTGGAGATTTACTGGGAGGACGTAGGCGCTACAAATTCTCTGGAAACTGGTATTTGGAGATTATTCCAAATAGGTCCCATATATATCCTAGTGCCCTCAAATTATTCACAAAGTTGTCATAAATTTAAGAAAATACTGACTAATAAATCCTTCTAATTTGAGTTCAAGTATGCCATCCTGCTACTATCATATCTCCCCTAGATCAATCCATCAGCAATAGAATTCTATACCTTTAATCAGAAAAAAGAGCCACTTTTTACTTGAACAAATTACTCTAAATCCTCAATTACTCCAACAATTACTCTAGTCCTATCTAAACAAGCTACTCCAGGCTACTTCTTCAGCAAGAAAAATATTTAACAATAAGTAAGTTACTTTAGTCCAATCCTTCAGAAATAAACTTCTCCACCTCCAACCAGAAGCAAGATAAATGTTCCATCAGAACTAGCTACTCTAATCTAATTCTTCAGTAACAAAATTCTCCACCTACAACCAGAATGAAGTTAGGTACCCTATTATAAGGTATTCTAGTCTAATTCTTCAGTAATAAAATTCTCCATCTCTAACCAGAAGTAATACAGATGTCCTATCAAAATAAGTTACATTAGTCTAGTCCTGAAAAAATTCTCCATCTCCAACCAAAAGGAAGGTAAATGTTCCATCAGAACTAGCTACTCTAGCCTAATTCTTCAGTAACAAAATTCTCCACCTACAACCAGAATGAAGTTAGGTACCCTATTATAAGGTATTCTAGTCTAATTCTTCAGTAATAAAATTCTCCATCTCCAACCAGAAGTAATACAGATGTCCTATCAAAATAAGTTACATTAGTCTAGTCCTGAAAAAATTCTCCATCTCCAACCAAGAGGAAGGTAGATGTTCCATCAGAACTGGCTACTCTAATCTAATTCTTCAGTAACAAAATTCTCCATCTACAACCAGACTAGAATTAGGTACCCTACCTGAATAAGTTATTCTAGTCTAAATCTTCAGCAATAAAATTCTCCATCTCCAACCAGAAGTAATACAGATGTCCTATCAAAATAAGTTACATTAATCTACTCCTTCTGGAATAAAATTCCAATCAGAATCTCCAACCAGAAGTAATACAGATGTCCTATCTAAATAAGCAACTCCAGTCCAAACCTCCGAGCAATAAAATTCCGCATCCCTAGCCCGAGGGAAGACAGATGTCCCATCTGAATAAGCTACCCCAGTCCCGACCTCTCAGCAGCGAAATTCCCCTCCAGCCAAAGAAAAGAACCGTGTGTGTGCCCTACCTGAATAGCGTTCCCGGCAGGTATCTCCTGACCGGGGCCCGGCGTCACTTCATTCTGCTCGTTGATCACGGTGGCCCTGAGGTAACCGTTGTTCCCCTCGGACTTCATCCTCGATACCCACTGTCCAACAAACACCCGTTTTCTGTCCGTTGTCTTCGGCTGGATCCAACTGTGGCCGCGGTGGAAGGCGTCCGATTTTCAACCCGGGAACTGTGTCAACGACCGGTGTAACGTTGACATCGCGGCTGCTCTCGATCGGGCAGTACGTCCGTCGTGTGTGCGGCAACTCGGACGATCAATGGATCGCCACGGGGGAATGTTTTCAGAGTCTCTCCACTTCGCGGATCGGTCAGTTCGTGGTTATCGACGGTACCTTTTCGATCATCAATTTCGACACTATTTTCGTTCTGTCTTTGACGAACTTAGGGTATCTTTGTCAGGCTTGTTGTTCTGTTATTGTCACTGTATAGATATATAGACGATTCGATTTTGGTCCATCACACGTTGCGGAACAAGATTCGGATGACTGTTCACACGCGATCAGCTAGGTTCTCGGCTCCGAAAGGATCTGTGACCGCCGTGCTACTGACGCGGACACCTCGCAGTCTCGCACCACCACGGTCTTCCTTCCCCCTCCAACTTCCGTTTTCCTCACCCTCGGGCAACCCTCAATTTTGTTTACAACTCCAGCCAGGTGGGACCTGGCAGGGATGACAAGTAGAGAAGCATCGTCTCTCTCTGTTGGTTTCTTTTTCTTTTTCGTTTTTCTTTTCTTTTCTTCTCTCCAGATCAACCGATGATTTGCATCCGAGGCCGCTATGCTAATTCGATTGTCTTTTGCACGACGCTTTTGCGTTCTATCGGTGGACCGGTTCCACGGTTATACCTTTTTCATTCTTCAGTTGTCGACGGAGAAGTTTTGCGATTATGGATTGCTTAGACGATCACGTGATTTGCAGAGTTTCGATTTATTCTTTATCGGTTGAAAACATTTTTCTGTGGATGGATTTTTTACTGATTCGTGTGGCATTACATGCTTTTTCTGTACTATTATTAATAGAATTTTGTTTATAACTTCTTTAACGTTGGATGAATTTCACTGACATTAGAAAATTTGCTTAAGATTCATTATTAATAATATTGTCAATATATTGAATCATGAAATAATACTACCATTGATGTCGAATCTATTTTACAATTATATTGTACAATGATTAGATCGCAAAAATAATCTTTAACCTTCTTTGAATCTCACAGGTCCTACTTAAATCTGGTTTATTCGAAGTTTTACCAAAAACTTTAGTTCCCAATTCTGAGCAGATAACTGTGTCGCCTATATAATAATAATAATTCTCAAATATATAAATCTATAGCATAATAAATAAAATAAATAATAATAAATGTGTTGATAGTGTAATGCATAAGTATATTCCTAATTGTTAATTTACTTTCGACAGAAGTTGCATCGCTAAATTCGAGGAGCATTTATGCAATATTTTCGAGGCTAACATAGTTGATTTACCTGTGGTGGCACGGTTCGTTGGTCAGACGATTGCGTACAACGACATCAATTGCTCGCTCCACAAATTCACCCTCCTCGACGTTCCACCCCCTTTCCCTCGCAATCGCCCGGGACATTTTCTCTTTGCCAATTCTCTCCTGTTCCTACGGAAAACGATGTTCGCGATGGTGGACAATACGCTGCGAAAAATCAACGAACTCGTTAACGCGGATCAATTTCAATTAAAGTCCAACCCATCCGTGTTATCTCGATCCAGTTACCATCATTAAATGGATCGTCGTTGTTCGTAAGTAATTTTTCAAGGAATTACAGACTCAACGGAAAATAGAAAATAATATCCGTGAGACTTTAGTATCGATCGGTATCACGGATTTTCTATTAATATCTCAATTTTATATATTACATCCCTTTCAGCGTATAAACATTAAAAAAACGAAACTATTAATTCAGTAACGTAATTGAAATAACGACTTCAATTTTATCTATTTTGGGGTGACAATGTTCAACATAAATTTATTGTGATCAGTAATGGAATAAATTACATTGTACACAATTATTTATACAATCTTTATGCAGATCGTCCCCTAATTAACAATTGTAATTTATGTACAGTAGTCGAAGTGTTTGTAGGCATTAATTTGGCTATAAATTAGTTATTTCAATCAATATTCTTCCTGATAAACCAAACACGAATCAGATTGAATATTGATAGAAAATGAAATGGCAGGAAACAACCCCTAAGAATATTAATCATAATATCACCAATTAATTATATTTACGTGTCTTTATTACCAACGTTCCACCCGGCTACGAGAGTCACTCGAGCGTTAAACCCTTTCAACCCTCCACGAGAATCTTCTCGTCTCCAACCCCCTACCCCCAGTCCGCTCGCCACATTTACTGCTTTGAGACTGAGTCTCTGAAAAAAAAAAAATTCCTTTCTCGTGTAAAACAGAGTGGAGAGAAAAAGAGAGCCGGGATTTTCATAAACATATTGTCTGGAAGTGCGTTGTGGTAATGCTCTCTTTTTACGCGTCGAAAAAACAATTCCCCCGTCCGCTTTGAGACAGAAAGGGGTGGCGGAGAGCATTAGGAGCGTTTCAAGCCACTTGTTTACTCGGGGCGTGTGCAACAAGCGGTTGATCAGACGCGAGGCGTTATTGATGAATATTTGCAATGCACTTTGCGGAAGCGAAATAGGGGTAGCGGCGGATGGGGTAGTTTAAACGCGTGTGGAGTGCGACGACGTTGTGGTAATAATGCTTCTTTAAACATTTCTAACCACTATTATTTGAATGAATAGAAATTAGGAATTTCACAGTTAAAAGGGATAGGATAGTGGAAATTTAAAGGTGGTAATGATAATATATGGGATAATAATTATTATTTGTTAATGTTCGCCTTAGGGCATTATATGGGATAATAAATAATAGTAACACTATGAAACTACGTGAATACAATGGTAATTAGTTAAATTAAATTATTTAGTGAAAATCAGTAATACACAGAAATAAAATATAGCAGAGGATATAAGGGTGAGAATCTGCCTATCTGTGTTTAAGCCTGACTATCATTAATCAATTTTTGATTTTTGGATCGAACTTTGGATTTTTATTGTTTTATCGAATAAAGGGAATTTTTTAGTCATCGAGTTGGTAATACAGATGAAAAATTGTTTATATGGTCGAAAATGTAAAAATGAAGGATATGCAAATATAATTTTACATTAGGAACGGTGGTATTTAATTACGGTATTCGTATGATTTCTCGCTTGTAAAGTTCCAAAAATTCTACTGGTCTGGAATTCATGTACCACAGGAACGAAGTGGTATGAACGAAACCAACACTCCAGAACAACCCCCGATGGTTTACACATCACAGATGCAACAAGCGGCGTCGTATTCGCCATGCTACTTGAACAAACTACTCCAACGGTGGCGAATTTTAAAACAGAAATAATTAACATGCTATCAAAATTTAACACGAAAAAAATACTCGAAGTAATGAATATAACCGAATAAACATGCAAAAGAAATTCAACCCCCAGTAACTTCAGCCCTAAAAAATATTACTTTATCCGATAGAATAGTACATAGTGAAGGTAAAAAAAATAACAAATTATTATTAAAAGTTTATAAATTGAAATATTCAGAGGCATGCAAAATTTCACCAGAAAGGGGTTGAGTCTTTCACCACGATGGCTGTCACTAAATTCTGCTGTGCTTTTCCAGAAGTGTTCGATCTGTGACAAGCTGTTTCAATTTTTTCCCGTGGACGTGGAAATGTGGGAAAAACACCAGGCGACGGTCAATGCCGGACTGATGGAATTTCGGCGCGACTGCGCCCCTTGCGACAACTCAAAGCGACAGCGCACTTTTTTTTCGCAGACACGAAAAACACGATTCAACGATATTTTTAAAACCCTTTCTGCAAAATGATTCCGATTTTTTACGCGCTGTTTATTCAATTGTTTAGAGGGGTTATTTTCTGTTAGGGGTGTGGAAGATTGAAAGTGAGAATTTACAAGTTTTGTTCCTGCTAAAGACTATAAAATTATATGAGATGTTTTGTGATTTTATTTGACTTCAAAGAATAATATTATTGTCCTCAATTATGTTTTATCGTACAATGAATGAATTATTTGCAGAAACTAAAAAGATTCAGTTAAGATTTAAATTGTTTCCCACGATATTTTAAACTTGTATCGTATAATTAACATTTTAAACTCTGTTATTTTATAATTATACGAATATTATTGTACAATTACAAATTAAGGGAAAACACGAATAGCACAATTTTATAATATTACTGGAACTAAAAAGATTCAAGTAAGAATCTTTTGTATTTTCAACTAATTAAAAGAATTTAGACAGTAGTATATTGAACGTATCATGTTGAGGCATTTAAATGGACAGTATAAACCGAAAGAGGTCAAAGGCAGCGATTTAAATTTTTCAACAGCCACGAAATTGGGAACTTCAATATTTGTTCACTTTGGTTGGAATTTCCGATAAATATTCTCGTTTTGTGTGTCTCGTACCACTGATACCGTTTCTGTTCCCCTTCCAATCTATCCTCATTTCTCTGTTGCTGTTGCTGCTGCGGCTGTGACTGCGTTTTCACGAGGCTATTGCTGCCACAAGTCGATATCAAGCATGCGCCGTCATTGTGAATTCACGTCATTATCTTGAAAAGTCACGCATGCAACTCAATAGTTTCGCGACAATTAACAATATAATAATAAGTAGTAGCTGTGACTTGGTTTACTGACTTTTCTCAACCACTATTTTTTCTTTTTAAACCATCCCCCAAATTTTCCATGAATATTTTCAAGTATTACTATAAAAAATTACTAAGCTCAATATTAACAATATCAAGCTAATCACGTTTTATTTGAACACTTTGCATATTCCAAAAGTTATCCCCCTAAAATAAAATTGCTCTGCCAGCTTTTCACATCCTCGAACCACGATTTTTTGTCAAACAATACCGAAATTTTCCACGAACTTGTTCAAACATTACAATAAAAAATAGCAAGCTCAATATTAATAATATTAAAAACTAGTTATGTATTGTTGAATAATCTAGTGTTTTAAACAATTAAGTATGGACGGTCAGAGTCGATGGCCGGATCAATCGTAACCCATAACAAGATTTCATAGAATCGTAATCACATTGATGAGTCGTTGGTGACCCTGTCATCGGAATCTGGAGGTTAAATATGATTAAAAGATAATTATTAGAAGTTTTGTGTAATAGCGTAATGTGGTTTAAGAAACACATATGCTATTTGAAAACATGTGTGTGTAGTTTAATTGAGATAATTCTGAAACATTGTAATGTGATATTTGAATTTGCAATTGTTTTCTGAATTATTGAACAGTGACGCAATGACGTCTCCTCGATGGTACGCGCATCGAATACATCATTCACGTACAAAAGGCGGTTGCACGGGGGACATTAAAATGCCAGAGGAATTCTACGCTCCATGTAGCCGATATGGATAACACAATAATGATAATTATCAAGTTCGTAATTATCGTCCTCGCCCCATTCAGATATCATGCATCGGATCTGCAGTAGAACGTGGAATTAAAATTTTTTCCTCCACGCGGTACCCCAACTAACAGACAGTTGGAACTATAGAAATGAAGAAATTATGAATAAATTATTGTCCAACTGTATTGCAAATATTACAAGATTACGTTTTATTTCCTTCTACCTGCAAAACGAATTTGATAAAGTTATTTTGTCTTTTTCTACGAAATCAGTTACAAAATTTTATTATTCAAAATCTGTTTATCAAATTACTAACTATATTTCAATATACATCCTTGGAATAAACTTTTTTAAAAAACAAAGATGGGTAAACAATTTAAAAAACATTAAAATATAAATGTGTAAAAGATAATGAAATAAAAGTTCTTACATTTAATGAAGCTATTTTTTCAGAAAAGAAGTATATAATAATATATCCAGCAGAGATGGGCAAATTTGTTATCTAGGCAAAGTTTGATGAGAAGGAATGAAAGATAAGAAAAATATTCCGTCATTGATTAAACATAAAAATGACAACTTCTATAATAAAATAATATTCCGTCTCGAATAAGGAGACACTTGACAAACAGTTAAATAATCTAATCAGCTGTTTAAAGGTCAGTATGACGCTCTTAGATACAGCTGTTCTTCACTATCAATTTTTCGAAAAAAATAATGCTCAACCTTGATCTCCAGTACAGCCACGAGCAAACTCGGCTTCCACTAGGGGAAAAAATGACGTAAGACAAGTGCCTCCTACCACTTGATAAATTTATTTTAAGTATTGAAATAAATATTAGAATGCATGTTAATTTGGCATGAATTTCCGAAATTTCCAAGACCAAATAGTAAAACGTCCTTTCCCTACGCCACTTTTTCCCTTAGCGGAAGCCGAGGTTGCACGTCAGTGTACAAGTGCACACAATTCAAATGTACCCGCGCGATGCAACGGTCACTCCACCCTAGGGACCTCCTCGCAGCATCCCAAAAGTCCCTACTCCATATACCCAATCTCCGTAAAACCGTACACTCCGCATTTCCAGACCACTACTACCATTAAAAAAAAAAGCAGATTTACACGAAGAACACGCAAATCTAACGATCATCCCAAAAGGCGAAACGAAACCAGTCTCGTGCGTGCAAAAATTTTCGATCGATTTTCTGCGACGGCGCCATCTCGGCGACGAGCGTTCAGCTGCATCCTGTGTGCATGGTCCGTGGCAGTAGCAAAATAGTGCTCGGTCGGATGGTTGGGGTTTTTCGTTCGCATCATCGGTCCAGGGTTCGAAATTTAAAAAAAAAAATAAATAGAACAGGGGATCCGACGCAAGATGTGAGCGATCTGGCGTGCTCGACGTCCCTGCTCGATAAACGTCGTGTCGTCGGTAGTGCAGCACGCGCGCGCCCGTGGCGGAGGAAAGAACGGAACCGTTTTAGGTTAAAGGACGAGCTCCTAGCCCCCCGTCATCGGTGTCCCCGCGGGAGTGCATAACAATGCGCTGTGTGAGAAATTCGTACGGTGAAAGTATCTCGTACGGCGTGCAGCTGGAACTCGGACGGGAAGGTTGTCGCGATTTCCTCGCCTTTCTGTTCACGTCCCTTTTCTGAACCCCTGGTTTTCTCTCCGCCCCCACTTTTTCCTTTTTTTTTTTTGTCCCTTTTGGCCCCCGTGCGTGTGTAGTAGTTTCCTCTCCTCGCGATTCGTGCGCGTCGGTGTGTCGTACGTGAACGGTTCCAGCGTGAAAGAAAGAAAAAGGGGTGGAAAGAGAAAAAAAAAATGCTGAGGCTCGGGTGGCGATGATTCCGCTCGAATTTCGCAGATTGAATATCCCGACGCGACGGATGATAAACAAGACTCCTCGTCGACAAGAATGGAGGCTTGAGTGCTTCTTCCGCTAAAAGGTGATCAACAATCAACGATGTTTCTTCTCACTCTAACTTGGCCAGTCTCCTTCTTCTCCGCCGGTCTTTTCGAGCGAATGATCCGCGATCGTTTTGTTAAAGTTGTGTGTGTTTGCCGTTGATATATGCTGCTCTTCCCACTGATGCATGATGATGATGATGTTTGTTGATCCCATGTAATTTGTATGGTAATTGTTTACATTCGTTTGTTTTGATACTGGTGGATATTGTTTTGATTCGGTGGTTTGTGATTAATTTTTGTGGTCTTTTTGATTTTTTTTCTATGATAATTACTGATGACGAATAGTGACATTGCCAAATGTGCATGGTGTAAATTATTTCTGAATTTTCCCTCAATTTGCACTGTCACAAAGAGATCTCTTTGATGTGTTATGATGTGAGTGCAATTTATGCTTGGCTTTTTTTGCATGTGTAAAGCAACGCGTGGTACAGCATGTACTGGCAGTGATTCTCCTTCACGGTTAAACATTATTTCATTTCCTGTTTAGGGGGAGACTGAATGTTAAATACCATATTTGTAGCATCCTATACACCCACAATATGCTTTCATAGTAATTTTCTGCTTGATAACAGTACTTCTAAGTGAAATAATGTTTTTATATAATTATTACGTATTCTTTGTAATTTTTTTTGTACCTGCATCTACATACCTAAAATATATTCTGTGTCACTTTCTTCCTAACATCAGCTGATTTTCTTAATCCTTTATAACATTATGTTGTTAAAATAAATTAATTCCTCACTTACTGTGTTTTTACCTGTTATTTCCATTAGTATATATTTATAATTAGGAATAGTCTTTTTGTAGACTATTAGAATAAATGAAGATGGCAGATGATGAGGGTACCGAATGGTTGCAAGAACTATTGCACGATGTTCAACTGTCACAGTTTTTCACAAGAATACGAGATGACTTACAAGTCACTCGGTTGCATCACTTTGACTATGTTCAACCAGAAGATCTCGAGAAGATAGGGTTAGGGAAGCCAGGCATCAGGCGGCTGTTAGATGCCGTTAAGAAAAAGAGGAACACACAATGGAAGAAGAACTTGATTACCAAGATCAGGCCTGGCAGCAGCACAAAAACCACCAAGAGAACATCACAACCGGTTGAAGGTTCTTCGGTGTTGACATGCCTCATACAAGATAAGGATGTGACATTGTCCACCAAATTAGGAGACGGTAGCTTTGGTGTAGTTAGACGTGGAGAATGGACATCGCCTTCAGGAAGAACACTGCCAGTTGCCGTGAAAGTTCTGAAGGCAGATGCCTTGACACAGCCAAGTGTCATTGAAGACTTTGTGTCTGAAGTTCAAGCGATGCACACGCTTGATCATCATAATCTTATTAGGTATGTATTTCACTGAACGTAATACAATTAAAAGAATAGAATTATGTGATTAATCAATTGCTACATAGACTTCAATTGTTTGTTTTTTGAAGATTGTATGGGGTAGTACTATCGCAACCAATGATGATGGTGACAGAACTCGCTCCTTTCGGAGCATTGTTAGACTACTTACGAAAACAGTGTGGCCGTATTTCAGTATTAACTCTCTGCAATTACGCGTTGCAAGTTGCTACGGGGATGGCATATTTAGAGGCGAAACGGTTTCTCCATCGTGACCTAGCCTGTAGAAACGTTCTCCTGAGCTCCGTAGATAAAGTGAAAATTGGTGACTTTGGCCTAATGAGGGCCCTGCCCCAACAGGAAGACTGTTACGTTATGACAGAGCACAAGAAGGTACCGTTCCCGTGGTGTGCACCGGAATCGCTAAAAGCACGCCAATTCAGTCACGCGTCCGACGTTTGGATGTTTGGTGTCACGTTGTGGGAGATGCTGACATTTGGCGAGGAGCCATGGGTTGGGCTGAACGGTTCGGAGATTCTGCGAAAGATTGATAAAGACGGGGAACGATTGCACGAGCCAGAAGGTACGCCGCCAGTCATGTACCAATTGATGTTACGATGTTGGGCCCGGGAACCCTCGGAACGACCGACATTCACGTCCCTACGGACATCCCTGACAGGAATGGTTCCGACCGTAATGAAAGCCGTGAATCACTTCGAAGAAGCCGAGAAAATGACCATCGAACAAGGTGACCAAATAGTGATTCTAGATGGTCGGCCTGAGAACTACTGGTGGAAGGGTCAAAACCAACGAACCTTTCAAATAGGCTTGTTTCCTCGTTGCCTGGTCGATCCTATGAGACGCAAGCAACCTGAAGACATAAGTAAGCCTTTAGAAAACTCCTTTATCCATACTGGGCACGGTGCACCTTTTGGGAAAAGTTGGGGTAGTCCTATTTACATAGACGACGTTTACCTACGAAATCCCATGGAACCACCTGACGTTGTGGGCGTAACTACTGCCCCGGATAGCCATCTGAAGAAGAAATTTTTCAGCACCACTCCACGATCACGGAAGCAATTTAACTACACAAAATTTCAGAACGACATTAGAGCCAGCTCGGTGAAATCGACCAATGCCACTGGATCCAGTAGCCAAGAGGGTAGCTTGATAGACTTGTCCCCGGAAGAAATAGTGAACACGAGCGTCGCGCAATCTGATACTGCCTGTCGTCGAGTGGTTAATATCCTCGACGAGCCTATCGACGATATGGAACGACAGCAACCGGTGAATTGGCAAGAGGATGATCCTAGAACGTACGCCAACTTCCCAGAGAACGTCGATCCTGCGTACTCGGACCCATTCGACACATCGTCGGTGTTTCTGAAGCTTCCTCATTCAAGATACTACAGCCAAGTTCCACCTGACATGAACAGTCGGTACTACAAGACTCAGGCGTACGGGAACGTACAGAATCAAGATGCCAGTAGCTGTCCGGATAGTACAAATTATTTCACGCCTGAATCTGGATCGGATGTCAGTCACTATTCCATAAACCTGAGCAAAGAGAATCGAAACGACAGTATTAATCTGAACGTGAACGTCGACGCAGAAGACAGCAACGCGTACTCTCAGAATCATTATAGCGAAATTGACAAGCCCAGTCCTCCGCAGACCAGTTGGTCTACCTGGCCGGAGGACCTTCAGAACGAGGCGCAGCAGACGTACGTGAACGTCTCTAGTCGAAATCTTCCGAGTTCCGATGTCCCACCACTTCCACTCATGGCTCCCGATGAGAGTCCGCCGAAACCAAAATCGAACCATGATCTTGCCCAAAGTCTGAACGAGCTGACTATCAACACTCGTACCGTGTCCCCAAAGAAGCTGGACCCAACGTTTCTGGCCGAATTGGAGAAACACTTAGGGGAGAAAGAGGCGAGCAAGAACATGAACGCCAGTCAAGAAACCGCAAGTTCATCCGAGTCGTATTCATCGGTGAACAAGCTGCAAGAGAACACGATCCCAGCGCTACGACCACCACCTCAATCGGCCAAACCGAAATCTCCACAGATCGATCACAGAACGAGCAATTTACCCACCAAAGTACAGAACTCCTGGCCGTCGAAAACCACGAATATCCAGCAGCCACGTCCCCAGCCTGAACAACGAGTGTCGGAGACACCGACCGATCAAATGGTCTGCCAAATATGGCAACAATCGCAGGCGTCTCAGCAGAATCCTTATCCCAACGAAACGAGCATCAATAGGGTCCACAGCAATCCACCGACGAATCTGAACCTGTTGCAAATCGCGCCCAGTAACCTGGGGAACCAATACAACGTCACCAAGACGAACATCAGTCACGCACAAAACTCAATAGCGGCTAGTCCAGCCAGTCACTTCCAGAATCCCATTCTGCCCATCGCGAGCCACGGGATCACGCAGATACAAAACGATCTCCAGCAAGCGCACTCGAGCAACGTCCCCTCGAAACCGGCCAGCGCGGTGTTCTCGGAGCAGGTCTACGCGGAGCTGAAGCAAACGGTGCCAAACCTGGAGCAGTTGTCCCAGAACGAGTTCAACACATTGTACAACAAGACCGTCCAACAGAATATCCTCAGGAACTATTACGCTGCGAGCACATCGTCCGCCCCCGACTCTAGCAATCTAAGTCATAGTCATTATTTGGAGGGAGCTGCTGGTAGTTCGCAGCAACAACAACAACAACCACCACGAGCCGGTCAGACGAGGAGTTTCCCGGTTCAGGGTCATCCGTGCGACTTTAGCCCGCATCTGAAACAGCCGCCAGTTTACAATCCACCGCCGCAACCGGCCTGGAGTCCGATGAAATCTATCCAGAACGGCTTGGTGCCGGGCCAGTGTCCCGTAATGAAGACCAATCTGGGCAACAGCGGCAATCTGTTGCAGCTCGTGCACCCTAATCTGCCGCAAGAGGCTGCCATGGTGTCCCAAGCCCCTACGTTACGAAGTGGTGTACCACCTCAAATGAACGAGACGGTCGTTAATACTCAATTAGCCCCCTCTACGTCGGCGTACCCCTCTGGAGTCAGTCCCCCGTTAACTGGAGCCTCTCAGCAGTTGGTCATGTCCCTTAACGACGAGTTTCGCGCAAACAAAGTGATGAAGGTGCAGAGGGAGGCGTCTGACGCGTCCCAGCAGGAGATACTGACGGCGTTACAGGCGACCGGTTGGGACACCAATCAAGCCGCGAAGCAGATCCTGAAGGACAGACAGGCCAAGATAGAGTCTCTTGTGAGGTTTGTACCCGATTCATTTGTAGGGGACTGATAAGGGAAGGCACGGAAGTGTCTCCCTCCGATTTTGATGAAACTTCGTATGTCTGTTGAGCAGTCGAAAATATGGGATACGTGTTTTTTTTTATCGGCTGGGGCGCGACTTTAAGGGGTGAAGCCACCCCTCAAAATTTCGACCCGAAAGTACTATCTCGAAAACCAGAGGAGATACATGAAAATTTCTAATGGACGAGGTTTGCGGTTTTTTATGTAGAATAATATGGTGCTAACAAATTGTCCAAGATATTTGTTTATAACAAAAAAATTTCGGATCGTAACTTCAGGGGGTGGTTTCACCCCTTAAAGTCGCGTCTCAGCCGATAAAAAAAATATGTATTCCATATTTTTGACTGCTTAACAGACATACGAAGTTTCATCAAAATTGGAGGAGGACACTTCCGTGTCGTCCCTTGTGAATACAGTTAATCCTCGATGAGGGTTCGAAGGCTCCCCGGCACTTACAAAGAGAGGTCCCCATGTGTAACGTTGACTTTTTAATGAGGTTTCTGACAATGATAGAACTTGGAATTCTGAAGCCAGTGATATTTGTTTTAGTTGCATATGGCTATTAGTTTATGAAAAATTTAACCTTCAGTGCCGAGGAATCTTCGAACACTGATCGATGATTTACTGTATTATGGATTCTTGATGGTGTAGCAATGTAATCAAACTAGACAGATAAAAAATGATGTAATTGAATGTTTGTACTTCCAGACTGGGCTTGGCAGGCAGACAGGAATGCGAGGGTGCTCTGAAGCAGACTGAATACGACGTAGACTTAGCGGCTTCCCTGTTGTTAGACCAGGTCAGATGAAAGTAGACCCTAAGCAGACCGTGTCACAACTTTACTGAAAATATTGTAAAATAACTAATAGCGAGATATACGTATAAAATATAGAATGTATTTATAAGTAATAGAGCCATACACGTGTAAACGAGGCTACGAGCTGCGGTCACGATTCCAATTGGTGTCTCCATTTAACGTGCTTCGGAACATTCTGAAAGACGTTTTGAGTTTCTCTTTTCCTTCGTGTACATATTTACGTTTGAAACCTTCCGATTAGAGATTCGAGAATTAGGAGAAAGGTGTTTCGATGATTTTCAGGACACCAGGAGAAAAAAAGTTGCATTCCAGAAAACTACGCGAATTGTTCCGCGAGCCTCCGTAGCGAATCGAACGTGTAGATGATATAAAAAGAAAAACAATGCTTTTGGGCCAGCGTGTAACTGCGATGTCGCCGCTGAAAGATAAGTTGAAGGGGTGTAAACGAACCAAAATTCTATTAGAGATAATTCGTATTATTTTTTTAACGATTAAACATACTCCTTCCATTATTACACGTGTATCTCTTACCGAGTGAAAAATTATTTTCTTCTGCCGTTTTATCGTATGGTGGCTTCGATTAATCCTTTCTTGTTCATCTCCGGTGTCTAGATGACTGTACGTCTTCGTGAGAGTACCGAAGCAGTATTTTTCTTTTTAATTTTAAGCGACCATTGAGAATATTTAGGGTCTTCCCGAAATGATCTGGCGAAAATACGTATAATTTTGCAGACGAACGTCGAAAAATTTGTTCGTGGGACTAGCAATAGATCTTCGCCTATCAACTGGAACCTGAAGCGCTTCGCGTCAAAATTATCGTCCGTAATTAGATCTGCGTGCGTAGAATCCAGAATAAAAGCGAAAGCTTTTGTGAATCGATATCATTTGCCTTTGCAGTTGTCTGTCTAATCGTCTAAAAACTGTTATGTCGATTACTCATCTGTCTCTCTGTATATAGCGTGGTATAAATACCGATATACATTCTTCTGTAGTCTCATGACACGTAACAGTACGACAATATCCCTGGGAAAATACTCGTAAGAGTTAGACGACTGATTCACTAATGTCCAAGCACGTATTGTCCCATGTCGTATGAAGGCAGAAAAGTATTAAAAAATGTTCATTTTTTCAAAAAAAAAAGAAAATGGGACATTTCATTTTTCTAGTTCGATTTTTCTGCTGGCTCATTCTTAGATGTCAATTATCTATAGTGTTCTATAAGTGTAAGCACAGTACACCAGTCTTTCGATGCGAGAGTTTCAGGTTCGTTGGAAAACTAAAGGGCCATTTAAGGCTTCTAGAGGATCACCACTTCTAGGAAGTGGACCTTCCATTGGATGATGGAGCGCTGTTACCCGATGCCACATCATTGTTCTCGACTAGTACACTTCTAACCTTGAACGTCTTAATGTTAGACGTGCACTTAGGCTGTCCGGGTAAAAGCGGCGTCATTCGATGACAAAAGCGTGATAAAACGGCACAGCGGAAAAACCGATTTAGTTGCATAGAGAGAAAAACCGCGTTGCGCAAAAAAAAAAAGGAATAAAACCGGATATTGAATTTGTAACTGTGATATGCGTTACTAAAGGCTCTAGGCGACACCGTTTTTTTTTTTTTTTTTTTTTTCGAAGATAGAGGGGAGGAGCTATCCCCTGGTGTCCTTTTTAGGGGATAGACCGACGCGTAGATCGTATCTGCATAATACCGGGAGTGTACATAGACGTTTAGCGACTGAGTTGTAAGCTGTAACTAGAGTGTGTATGCGAGTGCTCCGAGCTGATCGTGTTTTGCCTAAATTCGGGGACGTCCTCTTGCGACCGCGGGGTTCCCGGATTGTACAGTTACGCAGACAGGAAGAGACGTATGGTAGGCCCATGGATCTCCACCTGCAAAGACAAAATTCGATATTAATTTTTGATTGTATTACCTTTGGTTTATCGTTGGTTCCTCTCTGTGTAATGTTCTCCGGTGGCGAAATGAGAACAGGGAAACACTGTGTGTGTCGAGAGCAAGACTCGCTTCCCTATTTTTTTATCAAATTATTAAAGACACTATTTTTTAAACGACTGTTTTAAATAGAGGGAGAGGAAAAAAAACGAGTAGGAATAAAATTGAGAATATACGTGGAACCGATACACTGACAGCGTTTCCCATTTTCATTCTGAGCGATTTTCTTGCCAGCCAGAAAACAAATTGACCCATGTAGCGTGCCCGAAATGATGCACGAGTTCATTGGGTCCAGTGGATCCGTCGCGACAGGAGAAACTGAATGATCAGTTCAGGTGAGATAGTCTGGGTTCCGATGCCATGTCACAAACGATACGAACAAACTGTTCCCTTCCATCGGCTCTCTAACGGTAGTCTTAATTTATTCATCGGAGGCCAGACTATTTTCTCACCTGGTACCTTGGGTTTCGGGATGTGTATGGAGACGACGGAGCGTGTGTACATCTTGGCTTCCATCGTGGGCCGAGGAAATGTTCGATATTCACGAATAAAACACACGTAACGAGATTCTGGACTTCCTTCATTTCTTTGTCTTTTAGAACCTGGAATAGCCTCACTTTGGAACAGTTGCAAAGCTTATAATATGTGGGTCCAGGGACACTTAGAATACTTAGGGTACATTGATTCTAAAACATCTAAAGCACTTAGGGTATCTAGGCTCTAAAGTTTTCAGAATCTTAGGAATACTTAGCCCTTAAGGTGACCAATCATCAGACTTGTAGAACGCTTAAGGTATCTAAGTAACGCCTGGGTCTAGAGTACCTATACTTTGAGACACTTAGGAAATTTAGATTCTGTAGATCCTGGGATATTTGGGGTACATAAATCCTAGGACATATGGAACACTTGGGGTATCTAGGCCCTCAGATTTCCAAAGCCCTTAGCATAAATAGAGTACCTACATTTTGAGGCACTTGGGAAATTTAGAGTCTGTAGATCCTGGGACACTTGGGATACATAAATCCTAGGACATATGGAACACTTGGGGTATCTAGGCCCTCAGATTTCCAAAGCCCTTAGCATAAATAGAGTACCTACATTTTGAGGCACTTGGGAAATTTAGAGTTTGTATATCCTGGGAAATTTGGGGTACATAAATCCTAGGACATATGGAACACTTGGGGTATCTAGGCACTCAGATTTCCAAAGCCCTTAGCATAAATAGAGTACCTACATTTTGAGGCACTTGGGAAATTTAGAGTCTGTAGATCCTGGGACACTTGGGGTACATAAATCCTAGGACATATGGAACACTTGGGGTATCTAGGCCCTCAGATTTTCAGAGCTCTTAGCATACTTATACCCTGGGCTTCACAAGACATTCATGACAGTTAGATGAGTTAGGGTACCTAAGCTCTAGGCATCCCCTTGGACATTTATCTAGACCCTATGTCACCTGGACCTGAGAATAACTGGACATAAGACACCTTATGGATTCAAACTTGGAATTTTCACAGCAGAATAGGAACATGGAGCTAGATCAAGAATCAAATACCTTCAATGAGAAAGCAATAGAGACAGGTGTGCTCGGTTGAATGCATTGTGTACAGAGTTGGAAGAAAGTGCAGAACGACTCCGACTTTCTAGCCGTTTCAATTTTCGATAGACCGGATCGCGGAACCTCATGAATATTCACGAGCGTAAGCGGAAAGCAAAATCGGACGGTTGATATTTTTATAGCTGGCAGTGGCATTGCTGCGATTCAATTTATCTTTACCCAGCGATACTGGGAACAATAAGATACACAAGACGAAGAAATAATACTGGAAAAAGGTGAAGGAACACTCTCGACGTTACTTTGTTGTGTTGAACTGTTTATTTGTGATTATCGAAACCGAGAGAGAACGACTTCAATTTAATTTGTTTGGTCTCATTTAATCATGTACGATTAATTGTATCAGCATATACGTTTAAATGACTTGTGATTGTATTATTTTTCAACCAATTTGTGATTGTATTTTATTATTGCATTAAGTGCATCGATTCTAACCGTATTCTTTCAATTAGCGCTTAAGTTACTGTTACCTATTTATAATAAACAAGTAGAAATTTCATGGAGTTTTTCATTCCTCTGCCTGTATTAAAGATGGACTATTGGTGGTATAACTTTACGGAAACTTAACCTAATTTCTTTTTTAATGGACAGTTTTTGATGTGAAAGTGTAGTTTGCTAGACGTTTTTGTTAAATACCAGAAGTCTCGACTAGGACAGCCAAGCCGTAGGGCATTGGGTCAGTTATTTTCACGCAATAATTAACAAGACAGGTTTACCCGGTGAGAATTATTATTGGCTCGTTATGTTGGCCGGCTCCTAGTATGTAGCGCTATATTTCTTGCAGAAATGTTTCAACGGGGCACGTTCTAATTGATTCGCCCGCGGTATTATACGGCCCGGCAACGACAGCCAGTGCCCCTGATATAATTAAACGGAATCGGGTTGACGATCGTTTCTACAAAAGGCCGATGAAAGTTTATTGCGCAATGTTACCGCGTGCATTGAGGTTCGAACAGTTAAAGAAATAACGAGCAGTTAGAGGAATGCCAACTGGATGGTTCTTTGGTTGCAGCCATTTTGAGAAACGGCGATAACGATAATAGGCTATTTCTATTGAATTCCGCGATCGTTTAGTACGCGTTCTTTCATGGGAACAGCAAAACAAGTTGTTGAAATTCTTCTGTATTGAATCAGGCACATGGGGAAGTTTAACACTAGGTTTACGGGCACTTATCGTGTAGGTATCTCCACGGCACGCATCAACGAACCCGCAGATTTTCTTTAAAAAACAACTTATTTTATATAATACACAATTTATGATCTCTGAAAGTAATGCATAGCTATAGAGATAGGTATACCACATAGAGAATTTCGAGGTTAGAAAGCATTCGAAATGCGTCAAAATGACGCGTCCCGTAAACCTAGTGTTAAAACACACTATGGCTACTAGTATTCATTTGTGATAGGCAGATTATTGAATAAAATCCTATATTCGAGACATGGAAGCCATTAAATAGTATCGTAATTTGTGTCAAATTTGGTTAGCAATAGACACCAATACTTGTTTCTAATCAAATGATCAGTAGACAGTTCGAGTGACTATTTTTTCGTAATCAGTACTTAATGTAGTCTCCAACCTGCATGTGATAGAATCCAGATATCACTAGACGCCTCGAAGACGTCCATTTTACGGCTATTTTAGGTCTGAGGCGTCTTTAAGCCGTCATTAACCCGTCTGGAAAGATACCTAATTTTTATCAATATCTGACTATGATCGAACGATTTCTACTTTTAATTGTTGGTACCTGCTATAACCCATTCTGTTATTAAAGGGTATTTAAGTTTAAGTCCAAGAACCTCTAGCATTATTTTTGGAAGATCAGGTATCCATTTTAGATGTACGGTGGCTATCACAGTCTGTCGCAGATCCGAAGCTAGTGATATTTATCCCCGAGCAGAGGATTCTCTTTGGCACCTTTCTTTGATCAAAAAGTACCTATTCTTAAAATTAGCTACCTTCTAGCAACTACATCTAGCAGAGATCAGGTATCTACTTGGGACGTTTAGTACCCATTACTACTGATACAAAACTACTAGTGCCTATTTTTACTAACAAGGAAAGGCACGGAAGTGTCCCCCTCCGATTTTGATGAAACTTCGTATGTCTGTTGAGCAGTCAAAAATAAGGGATACGTATTTTTTTTTCTCGGCTGGGACGCGACTTTAAGGGGTGAAACCACCCCTCGAAATTTCGACCCGAAAGTACTATCTCGAAAACCAGAGGAGATACAAGAAAACTTCTAATGGACGAGGTTTGCGGTTTTTTATCTAGAATAATATAATGCTAACGAATTGTCCAAAATATAATTTGTTTATAACAAAAAAATTTCGGTACGAAACTTCGAGGGCTGGTTTCACCCCTTAAAGACGCGTCTCAACCGATAAAAAAAAATACGTATCCCTTATTTTTGACTGCTTAACAAACATACGAAGTTTCATCAAAATCAAAGGAGGACACTTCCGTGCTTTCCCTTGTAAGAAGAATAGTGTTTACTACATTCCCTTACTGATCTGAAGCTACAAATGTCTACCATTGCTACTAAACATCAGTTATCGATATTGGGTGATGATGTATAAGAGATTGCAACGGTACACCAGCATGATGCACCAGCTTCGGGTGCAGGTGGGGTCTAACGGTAGCGCAGGCGTGAAAGTCTTCGGTTTCACTTGTCTTCCAAGAGATCGGCGCGTCCACCTGACCGGTAGTAGGAGAGGAAAAACAGTGAACCACAGGGTTTCGAGGCTGCTCGAACACGATCCAGAAGCGAAATCGTGCTCGCGACGTGCACAATGCGCCTCGTCGACCGACCGGAAACGGATAAGCTCGCTCCCGTTGCGAACCGTACGCGAACGAAGAGTTGAAGCTTCGAAAATTAAAAAAAAAATTAATCGGGTTACTGGTTGTTTCGTGGTGTTCTCGTGTTTGTGAAACTAAATCCCGAAAGAAGTTTACCTTAGATTTCTAGAGGGATAAAAGGTTTTTAATGCTAATTAAACTGAACGTGCATGTCGCGTATGTTTAAACAATTTAAATAAAAACGGAAAAGAAATGTCACAAAATATTAAATAATTATTATTAACCTACTGGGGCATCCAGTCGACGATTATTTAGTCTAAATGGAAGTTTCTGTAATGTCGCTACAAAGGAAGGGAAGAATTTAGTAAAAGTTAATTTTTTATTTGAATAAAGGATTAACAGTGATCTCTGTTTGGGCGAGTTTTGGTAAGAGATAGTTGTAGCGCAGAGACTGATACAGTTCAACGAAGGGCAACCAGAAGTACCAGCGTCATGAAAATGCCAGTAGAGTCCCCGATTTATTGGGACTCGGTGGGTTCCCAGCGCTCGACTTCCGGCGGCAGCTCTGGAGACGCTTACAGCTCCGGAAGCGCCAGCCGGCACTACGTCGACCCGTGGGACCTGGAGAACTATGCGTACCTGCGTCGACACAGCGTCGCTGGTTTGACGCAACAGGCGTCGCGCCACCAACGACGCCCATCGTACCATCATCTTTCACACGATCCACGTGCTCAGTCTGAATATTGGTGAGTGGTTCAGAATACTACTGAATTATTTTATATTTAATCGATAACACCATTTCTAGCGATAAGACAGAAGGAAGTCACTCGAGAACTGTAAATTACTATTTGGAAGCTGTAGCTCGAGAAATTGGAAATCTTAAGTTCTCATCCCTCAGGGAACCTTCAGATTCTGTTGACTTAGAATGTCGATTGAAGTATTTAATAGTCAGTTCACATACCAATTTATGGTAATGGAATTAGGTCTAGAAGACCAGTACTGGGGAAGGGAATTTAGATGTAGATAGGACTTTCTAGTCGAACGTTAGGGCCCAAGAAATTGTAGGGAATCTTGAGTTCTGTGACCGAGAAAATTAGGGGAGCTTTGAATCCTATTTATTCGGGAGGTCCAAATGACCTTGAGTTCTGGTTTGTCCAGGCAATCCAAGATGATATTTAATCCTAATAGGTTTAAAAGGAATCTTAGATGAACTTCAGGATTATTAGGTCAAGAAATTGGATCTAGTGACTCAAGTAGCCCAAGACCAACTTATGCCGTACTAGGTCTGGCAGTCCCAAATGATGTTCAGAATTATTGGATCAAAATACTCAATCAGATTCAATTCAGATGACCCTAACTCTGATAGACCTAACCCAGACCTAAGCCCAAGATTTTCTTGAATTGTAATATGTTTAGAAAACCTCATTGAGACTTCCAACTTCGTAGCCCCCACTTCTATCAGGCCAAGGAACTTTAATCTTTAATTTTCTAGATTGAACAGTTAACACTTGAAATATATTTTAACACAAAACATCTCACTGTTTAATAGTATTTGTCAGTGTTTCATACTGTCCAGAAGATATACAATTCAAAGAGGGCTCAGATGGATCTATTTCCAAACAATGTCTCAGTAACGCGTCCCCACGCATTTCAAAGCCACAATTAAATCTCAGAGGTTGTTGTTCTGTGTTTGAGCAATCTGTTCGACGATCTCCATTTATTATCATTCGCGTTCGGTTTCCCTCTATAGCGCAACAGAAGGCTGCACGTGGTATTTCAAATGTTTTTCTTTCGGTCTCTCGTTGAAAATCGGTAAATTAGCTCGTGCCTAGCGGGCACGGTTCAAGGGATTTTGCCTTTCACCGTTCCGATTCGAATCATCGATTTGAACGTCGTTAGGGGGTTCATTGCACCGTGTTGGATCGCTGATGGATGCCTATTACGATCGAAGGAAGTGTCTCTTTCCGGCAATTAAATTCCCGTGGCAATTGTGTCCCGTTGGACGAACATGTTGTGTAACTTATGTTACGACCGGGCCCTGTCGTTCTATCCTGTTCAAGGACCCTCGGAAATACCAGGGGCTTAAAATGGACACCATAACCTAATAGTATTAATACTTCGTGGTCCGAGATTAATTTCTTCACTTCTATAATTGTACCAGACAGTGAAATATTAAAATATAGAAACTTGAATAATGTAACATGCATGTCCTTTTATTACAAATATGTTTACTATGTTACGAATACTTTTAAAATAAAAATTTAAAGTAAAAATATAATATTAAAAATCATTGCATGGAACTCTCACGCGTGGTAACTTTTTATCATCAATTTAATATACATTGAAATAAAAAGCATTTATTTTTTCATAATATTTGAAAAAATAAAAGTATTTTCGGGGAAGCTGTACTCCAAGTGAAACTGCAGCTTAATAAACATCACCACGCTAGAGCCACACGGTCGACAACACCTCGCCCTACTTACCGCCCACTGATACAATCTTTTGCGAACAAACTGCAATACGGTGGAAAATATATTGGGTTAAACAGACTGTATACGACGGAGAAAAAAAAGAAAAATAAATACATAACTTTGGTAAACAATAGAATTCCATTTTATGCAACCGCGGTCGAGATCGATTATTATCAGTTCTCGCAATAGTTCGAGCCTGTTCGCCCGGGAAATTCGAAATTTCAATGTAGAAATGAAGTTTGCTCGACCCTTAAATCCGTTCCACCGTTTGATTCGAAATTCTCTGTTTTTTTTTTAATCATTTTTTACTGCAACTGCTGTGTTTTTTTGGCATTTGGTTGCTCGCCGATTCTCCTCGATACTTGCGCAATTTCTCCGTGTTATATGTAATTTTGGTTATTTAATTATTCATGCAGATTAGATCGCGTGACGCTAGGAAACTACCTGAATATTTTGCAATAATGGGGAAGCGGTGGTTAATAAATTGTGCGTTGTTCTTGTTCGGTGAAAACTCACGTATGGACATTATATCGTATTTAAAATTGATAATCGTAATTAGACTTCGATAAGTATATAATTCGTGAGGAAGATTATCGGTGAATAGTAGACTGTGGATGTTTATGCAAATCGAGATATTTAGTGTCCAATTAACATACTGCATCGAAAAATTCGCACATAGTTTTTCTTCCTGTTTTGTTCTATGCTTTATGTTGCACAAAAGTAGACAAAACAACCGCATTTAATTAACTACTTATTATTAATACTGTTTTATTAAATAATTTATTAACAATAAAATACGTTTATAAGATAAATAGAATATATTTTATAAATATATTCTACATATTTATTTATTTATATATACACATATTTAATACTATATATTGTTATATTCAGTTATCTCGTAAATATATTCCATTTCCCAAACTCTAATCATTATAATTCATATTTAATAGAGAATTTGTATTTGATATACGATATTTTGTTATTTAATCATTTAACACTTTGTATGCCTAGTATTAATAAATATAGCATTTATAAATATTTCTTATATTTTAAGAAAATTATAATTCTTATATAGTGGCATGTTTGATATTACATGAAATCATTTATCATTTTGTTCTTTCAATATTAATTAATGAATAAAATATTTATGAATGTATATATGTATATATATAACATTTGCTGAAACATACGGATAGTCCAAGGGCAACGGCAATTTTCTCCACGCTAAACAACAATTCCATGTTAAACAATCAATGGGAAAACAACTAGAAGAAGACGAAACATTGTAGGTATTCATCCTCGGCGAGAGAACCGGGCTACGACGCACCGGCTTTCGTGGAAGAATTGTATTGTGGACCACCTAGGCCAGGGAACAATAGTTGCTACTATCATCAGCCGATCTACGAGGACGAGGTACCGGATTACGTCGCACCGTTTCCGGTCTACGCACCTCTCTCCGGTAAGATTAATTGCTTTCCCGTTTACTATGCACCGAATCGAGTACTCCACAACGATCTGCGTACAAAAAGTCCTGGAAATTTTCGAAAATCTTTTCTAAAAACTATACACAAGGCCTTCACAACGATTTTTATACAAAGAAACCATAAAGTTTTCAAAAATCTGCTCTGAAACCTACAAACTTTAATTTTAATAACAATGTTACGATGTTTATAAAAATTGGTGAATGTTTTTAACTTGACCTAAGGAGAGGCCTAGCATATTATATTTTTCTAAAAACCATAAACTTTGATCAATTAATAACAATTTCGTAATATTTATAGAAATCAATTAAATGTGTTTAACATGACTTAATGAGAGCCCCAGTGTATTATATTTTTCATGAATTTTTGTGAGTCACAAAATTCGAGTTTCTAATTAAACATTCGTACCCTGACGACCATTATAATTATTTCGATCCGACACGTGATCAGAAGACCGTGATATAGATTTTCTGCTATCGCGCTTTCACCTAGTCAATATTCATCACATTTTCCGGGTGGAGTTTTCGTCCCTGTGTTCCTGATGAGAGAAAACACTCTCACAGGAAGAAGATCCCACCACTACATGTTTTCGAACACCTCAAGTGGTCATTAAATTTGTGGCAAATGGAATATTGCATTCTTTAAATTTCACCCTAATTAGGAAATTCCACGTTCAAGTGTATACGCAATTTCAAACTAACGTGGGACGATTGAAGTTCGTACAAATTACTGAAAGATACCTGTATAAATTCGATACAATAAACAATAAAAAAAATGTTAATATTCCACTCGACAGGTTTGAGATCTTCTTATAGTCGAATGAGATTTCTGAAGAATGAACGTGACCTATGTTCAAGGCTTGAGATCGAGATTCTTGAAGTAGAAAGTACATTTTCGATGCACAAGAGAGATTTTCTGAACTAAAAAATTAGAGACACTCAAAACGAAGGAATAAGAGATTTTCCAAATATGAAAATTAGAGGTTTGGTAATCACACCAATGACACATCTTCGAAGTTTTTGAAATGTAACATGGACAGATTTTTCCTAAACAGATGACGAAATACATCACACACCAGATGACCTGACGCAACCCCAGTCTATCCTTAAAACCGAGGCGTCATCGACCCGCGCAACCGGTTCGTTCCCTCTTCGTGACCAAAAACCACAATGTGGCAGTCGAGTGCGTTTTCTCTACATCACTATGGCTGCGTTAATTGATATTCTCGCACGCGGCGACACGATTACGCGCTCCCGGTATCGTGCCTCACATGAGAAAATCTCGCGAAAACGTTATGCAATTCCCACTGTTGCATCGTCGATCTTCACGTGCTGGCACGTCGATCGGATTCAGTCAAGGAATGCACTTCCGTTTCGAGTAATGCTGCTCGAAATTGCAACGGGAGAACTATTGGCCCATCCAAACGTTGGGACAAGCATCTATCAACTACCAATTCTAATCGTTCCAGTCCTATTCCTACTTCAACTACAAATTCCAGTCGTTCGATAAATTTAGTTCTTTCTCTAAATAGTGAATCTTGATAAATGGAACAAAAAAGGTTCCTTGCATCGTTACTTTAGGATCAGTAGTTTCATCAGAAAATTAAGTTGGTTGGAAGCAAAAGAAGTCGACATGTTTGGTAAAGGTAGAAACTCGATGAAGGGAAACACGCAATCGACAACTACTTTCAGTCATCCGATTAATTTAGTTCTTTCTCTATATTATGAATCTCAATGAAAGGAACAAAAAAGGTCTTCTACATCGTTCCTCTAGGATCAGTAGTTTCGTTATAACATTGAGTTAAGTAAAAGCCAAAGAAGTCGACATGTTTGGTAAAGGTAGAAACTCGATGAAGGGAGACACGCAATCGACAACTACTTTCAGTCATCCGAGTAATTTAGTTCTTTCTCTATATTATGAATCCCAATGAAAGGATCAAAAAAGGTCTTCTACATCGTTCCTCTAGGATCAGTAGTTTCGTTATAACATTGAGTTAGGTAAAAGCCAAAGAAGTCGACATGTTTGGTAAAGGTAGAAACTCGATGAAGGGAAACACGCAATCGACAATTACTTTCAGTCATCCGATCAATTTAGTTCTTTCTCTATATTATGAATCTCAATGAAAGGAACAAAAAAGGTCTTCTACATCGTTCCTCTAGGATCAGTAGTTTCGTTATAACATTGAGTTAAGTAAAAGCCAAAGAAGTCGACATGTTTGGTAAAGGTAGAAACTCGATGAAGGGAAACACGCAATCGACAACTACTTTCAGTCATCCGATCAATTTAGTTCTTTCTCTATATTATGAATCTCAATGAAAGGAACAAAAAAGGTCTTCTACATCGTTCCTCTAGGATCAGTAGTTTCGTTATAACATTGAGTTAGGTAAAAGCCAAAGAAGTCGACACGTTTGGTAAAGGTAGACACTTGGTAAAGGTCGACACGAAACTAGGATTCCTAGCGAAACTATCAATCCTAGAGCAACGATTCATACCAACTTTTTAGTCCCTTTCATCAGGATCTATAATCAAAAAAAAGGACCGAAACCGATCAGACGATTATTAACAGTAATTTCTCCAAATTTCGAATCTCCGAACAAAGTATATTGATGTTAGCAGTGGTATTTGGATTCAGAGTAACGGTTTACTTTGTTCGCTGTTGTGAAATGCCACGGCATGTCGACAAATGTTTCTTCCTCGACGTCACGGTCGCAAAAAACGATAAAAACTAATCGTTGAGTGACGAACGCGAACGAATCGATTGCGCGGAAAATTGGCGACTCCGCGGTACACGGTTCCCCGTTTGTCACGCGTCGCGGCAACTCGAACGATTTCTATCGCGGCCTAGAAAGTCACGGGCCGCGGTGAAAAACGCAGGGTTTTACGCTTATGTGTCGCGAGGATGCCTATCCGCGAATTTGACGTTCGTTCGACGCGTAACTATTGTTTCCAGAGCTGCTTTCGAACGCCTCCACTTTCACCGTGGCACGTTAATTCGTGCGTGGACTGTCAAGACGATGGGATTAGCTATTTTATTTGTTAATGTAAGAAACTATATAATGACGATGAAAATTAATAAAAAAATGTATAATTATTAACCGTAAATTGTCTTTTTATAAAATTCATAGACACGTACTTCCAATGAATATTTATAAACATTGTTATATATCAATAATTTAGTAGACAAGTTTTTTAGCCCTCCGAGTACGGACCGTTAATAGTTAAATATTCATTTTGTTTTCGTGTAGAAAGTTCAATGATTATGATTATTGATGGGTCCCCGATGACTCTGCCATAGGATTCCGAGGGTTAAAATAAGAATGTAAATTAGTACAGGAAAGTAGTATAGGAATGATAATACTACACAAGTTTAATAAATATTTAACTAATTTTATGGAAAATATGTATTATAAGAAATATGATAATTTGTGCAACTATCGTAATGGTGTAATAGCAACTGTCGTGGAGTTTGCGGAAAATTTTCTGGAAAATAACGAGGCTACAGAGGATTGTAAAAAAAATCCCAACGCCTGGTTTTACGCTGCCTGTAACAATTTCCCCCGTCCTTGTTCTAAATCATAAACGCGACAAATCCCAAGGTTTACGACGCGAAAGACTGAAGGCGTCGGTGGGCGTCCAATCTACGGGGCGATTAAAGTCAAGCCTATTAGATGCGAAGAGCTCTGCTACGCTTCTATTAATTAGAGGATTACTCGACCGAATACGGTACACCGTGTCCAGGTCAACTAAAGTGTCCAGATAAACAACGTGAAAGTAAATGGTATCGCTGACCATTCGTTACCACTTTTTGCGAGAAATATCATTTTTATTTCAATATAGATGGAACACGTTTTTTTTTTCTTATAATTTTTTCTGAATATATACGGTCCATTTAAGAGAAGAAAGCAGTGACCCTGAAACGTGGGAGAGTATAATCCCGATATCTATATTGTGTCAGACCTAATATTTGATATTTCCTATTACGAATATACGATTATTTTTTCAAATGTATTGTTAAAATAATTGTAAAAAATTGTCTACTCTAGAAATAAGGCATGGCGGCGAGTTTATGGAGGACCACAGACGATTCAGGCACAGATGTAAATCTGCATCTATGAGGGATCTTCACAGGTAAAATTGTTTATACAAAATTAAGTGATTTAATGAAGGATTAATAGTGAGAATATTTGCATTTTTCAAGGTCTGAATACGTGGACCTCCGCATACCATCGGTGACCCCCACAGAATTGGGTAAAGTTTTATTTTGTTATGCAAAAATTTATCGTTAACAAAATTTATTTATATACTAGAATCTTTAGCAAAATCAAAAGGATTGCAAAAATAGATTCGATGTATGAAAGAACCACTATAGATAAAGTATGTGCTAGTTATTTTTCTAATAGTGAATATTAAAAAATAATTGCAGTATTTTTTTAATGTTCCACAAATCAATCACTGATATCTATTTCCAAAAAAATTTTATGAAAATATGCTTGCTGAATATGGTTCGATTATTTTACGATAATTGTTGTATTGGTAATAATTGATATTAATTATTTACAGATGTTTCAGGCAATCCCACGCCAGAATATCGTTCAATGGTACAGATAATACCTCCCCCGCATATCGACTTGAACACCTACGGTCACCTGAAGATAGATTACACGAACAGTTGGAACTCGCTGAACCGAAAGATCCGTAAATGATCCGACTTTCCCCGTGTATCCAACTTTCGTCTGGACGCGTGAAAAACGCCACGACCGTGAAAATAGAGATATGTCAGTCCCGTAACATTGAGGCTTACTGTCATTAATAATATGTATAATGTATATTTTATTTAAGAAAGTCGAAATCGAACCAAAAAATATTGCTAGTTTAATCAACAAAATGGAAAATAAACGCTACGTCTTGTATGAAAGTAAATTGCATTAATTATACATTTTTATATGGATTAGTATGTGTTTGTTAATCACCTAAATATTTTTTTAACGACTAAACAATGTTAAATGTACCGTCCGTGTCTTCGTGAAACAACTTTCGTTTTTTATTCTTTTCATTCCCGTCATTAGGTTTGTCCTCAGCGTCCATGGGGGCGCTGCTGACCCTCTCTATGTGCAATTCAGGCCATCTTGGAATTCAAATATCGATCACTATTATGACATAGACTGAGAATTTTATGCAAATACGTTGGCCATAATGAATAATATATGCGCTCAGAAATTTTTCATACACTTTTCTTAATTAATTCTCAAGTTAACAGTACCTTCGCGGAGGCAAATAAATAATTTATTTATTAGCAAAATGGATCATGGAAACGTCACTTTGCATGAATATCTGCAGTCTGTACTTAATGTCTATTTACACTAAATTAATAATTAAGAATTCATATATAAAAAACAGTGCGTACCTAAAAAATGACGGATTGCTCTGATTTTTGGTTGCACCCTTCGGTCGTCCCCTTTTCTTAGTTCCACCCTATATTAAAGAAAAATTGTTAATATTCCTGCACAAGCTGATTTTAAATTATTTAAAGCCATCTGTCTTTGAGATATATGTCCATTTTATTTTCTAATACAAATTAATGAATATATTATTATATAATAATTTTTCTTGTAAAAATTACTATTATTATCATTAGAAAATCTGTTATTAATATTATTTTTAACCCCTGATACCGATGCAGTATCCAGTTTCATGGCCTGCAGTAACACTTTGTACCTCTGAACCTCATCAGAGTGTTGCCGCTTCAAATGAGCCTTATCTTCATTAAATTTTTCTTCCTGAAGAACCAATTGGGTTTTAAGGACCTCGACCTCATCCTGGAGCCTAGAAACTAGGTGGCAAATAATATACTAAATAATACTAGATAATACTAAATAATACCAGGTAAACTAAATAATATTAAATAAAGACAGTCACAGTAATAATTCCACGAAAAGTGATTTTAATGGAGAAATATTCGATAATTTGTTACCTTGATCGTCGTCACCATTACGGTCGGTTGCAATTAGTCGTAAATGGTCACACTGGTCTTTCAGACTCTCGATTGTTTTACAAAGACCTTCTTTTTCTGCGCTTAACTCGTCCACGGTGATCTTGTAACGTTTCTCGAGGAGCATGTAGGCTTTGGATAAATTTTCTAAAATTTCCTTCATCCTCTCCGAACGTTCTTTTTCCGTTTGTAAAGTTACCTCCTGAGCGTCGCAATAGGCTTTCAAACCCACATGCGACTGTAATGTTCGTTAAATGGCGAAATTTATTAAAATAAATTGTGAAAATCATGTTAGTTGTTATTAAAAATAGTTAATTTTGGTATTGTACATCTCGAACTCTCGTAAATTCGTCGAGCATCCCTTGCAGATCGGAATTCAGGCGTTCCTTGTCGTTCATCTTGGAATGTTTGAAAGTTTTCGTTATGGCGCGAAAATTTATCGACAGGGACCGCGATTTGATTCTAATCTCGCCGCGGAATTACAATATTTAACGAATTTAAATAAGTTTGGAGTGAAAAATTGAAGACATTATTAGTAACACGTTTGGAACTATGTTAAAAAGACAATTCACGAAGTGAATTAAAACATTTTTAATAAAAAGAATTAAATTTAGTATGGACAAGAACCTCGGGGTTTGAGGCTTAGACTTAAAGCCCCGTTCACATAATATACTTATCCGCAAAAGAACTTTTTCTACGGTATGGTTCAGCCTTCTTGTAAACTTTTGTATGTTTTACATTAAATTGTATTTTTATGAACTTTCTCATGAAATTTTACTGAAGTTTTATTTAAATATTGAGATTCATGAGAACTACTTAAGTCAAATTCTTTTCCTATTCCAATTTGCTTTTACACTGTTGCGGTCCCCGCTCATGTCACGTAGCGGTGTATGTCATAAGCTTTACAGGCGCGAAGTTTGAATCGAATAACACATATAATAGGAAAGGAGGGTAAAGGTGAAGTTGACACTGATTTGAAGAAGTGTGAAATCTGTTAGAGATCCTTGTAATAAATGGATTTCAAGATTATAAAATAATCAATATTCACTTAGAAACAAATGTTTAAACATTTGCCAGTTGCCTTTGCCTCCTATCCTAACGCTCAATCATTGCAAATATGTAAATCGCTCGTTATCAATAACCGGGAAGAAACGCATCAACGAATCAGGTTAAATCTTAGAAATTAATAATTATAAGATTGGTCAGTAGTAACTAAGGACATTTTGTAATTAAACAAAATGATATACGAAGGGAAATGAAAAGACATTCCATTCCACCGACAACGTTGTAATAGAAAGGACGTATAAAAATTACTTTATCAATTAAATTTGTTTTCCTTTAAAATTAGTTAAAAATCGTTTATTCAAATAGTTTAAATATAGTTTTCCAAGTTTTAATTTAAATCTTTATTGTTCTTTATTATTATCGTTATAATTTCCTTTTTATTCAAAATTATCTATCAAACTAACGTGTTTCGAATTTTAATTACTTTGAGACTCAGGATTCCCTGAGGGCCCACGCAACAACACCAATTAAAGTAAGTATAATAATTGAGAAGTAAATTCCAAATATTCAACTAATTACTATAAAAGAATTAAAGGTATATTATTAAAGAGAAACTATAATCTCGGAAAAGTATTTGAAATTTTAATTAATTATTTTAAATGTCGTTTGAAGTATTATGAAAAATTAATTTCTACAAATACGAAGGAGGTATACTTACCAGTTTTGAACTTTCAATTTCTGATCGTTTTACTAAAATCCCTGTGAAGTTGCCCGCGATACGAAGCGTCACGATCGTGAAAACATTTGACAGTCGTAACGAAAATGACAGGAACGAGAATGAAACTGCAACTGTACGATGCAGTCTAAATCCACCATCACAGTGACCCACGAGGACTGCGTCGACGAGTTGATGGAAGAGTCGGTTTTCGAGCAGATATGCGACACGATATTCATTCTGATTCCTGAAGGTATGTCGAACCTGAAAAAAAATTATTTCATTAGAAAAAAGCGGCAATTCTCGTGACACTAAATCATATACACACATACTTACCATAATCAGGCGGGATAAATATTCAAAAGTAATTAAATATTTTTTTTCACTTTAACAAAGTTGAGAGTTCTCAACTCACTACTTGTTAGAACTTAATATTTCATTTAGAAATACCCATCAATAACAAATAAAATATTAGAATTTTCAGAAAGAGAACTAATAACAAATTATTCAGCATTGAACAATTTTTATAAATTTGGTATTCTGTTTATCATTTGATATTGATAATATTTTTATAAATTTACCACTCTATTTATCATTTAGTACTACTAATATTTTTATAAACATTGTATTTTTAATTAATGACCTTGGATGAAAATGTAACCATCGATTCACAGTCATCAAATCGAGTTTGACTTCCACGTACATGGAACGTGTAATGCATGTTTGATCCACCTGATCCTAGACGCGTACTTACGGTAGGCTTCTATGACAGTTCCGCGACTGAAGCAGCTTTTCCTAAGCTGGAGTCAACTAGGGACAGAGGACAGAGTGCAGCTTGACGCTAAAGTGGCGAACTGGTGTTGCCCCAATAGACGACAGCTTTATAAACCCCTACAAGAAGCTTTGGTCCGTTGGGAGACCGTCCAGGACACACAAGGTCACTCCTGTCCCTTTATTACCTGAGAATCGAACGTCAATAGCAAATTCCCTTATGCACACAATATCCCTTGTCAACTTCAATTTATTATAAAATTAAAAGTTTCGAGCTTGCGTCAATTAAACGGGGAGCATTCTGCCCTCCAGGGTTAAAATGTCCGACCTAACAAATAATCATTATTCAAGATTTTTCACGGGTTTCTCACCTTTTTTAACCCTTTAATACTCAGTGTGACATACCCGTCAGATCTAGAAAATCATATTTCCAGAGGTTTTATTGTAAAAATACACGAGGTTCACGTATTGGGACCATTTTTGATGGTCCAAAGAATATTATAAAACCTAATTTTTGTCGAATGTTTGAAAATTACTAATTAGAACAATTAAGCTAAAGAGGTTAATACTCTTTTTTGAATAAAAATCCTATACTATCCAGGTCCCCAAGAGGCTTAGATGTCCTGTTACAAGATTTCCTTCATGTTAAAATAAAAAGGAAGGGCGGCACTATATTCCCCCCTATGGGATCCCAGAATTGCCACCTCCCCCCAATTCTTTCAGTGTTGTGATGAAATAAGAAAAATTACCATCAGTCTTTTTCCATTTCTCGCCTTCGGCTATCAGCTCCGAATGAATTATTGATTTCGCCACGGCCCATTAACGAGCGATTATTCATCGATTCAACAGGCGCCCCCGGCTGCGTGCCAGGTATGGTCTCGTTTTCGTGCGACCCACGACTGGAGGAGCAGCTCGTCAGCGTTATATGCAGCCTGGATCTGTTGTGCACGAAGAATCGTAGGTACACAGAGATCGACGGGGACTACGAAATGTCGCTGAGCCTGAACTGCGAGAATAATTTGCGTTCGGTCGTCAGCCCGAAGGACAGAACGCCCCATTCGGTACACAGTTGCGGGTACATCGGGGACTACAAGAGATCTGACGATGAACCGAGTGGATACTTGACTAATTAAAAGACTGAAAGATTATTGATCATCGATCTGAGGGTATTCTGTAGATTATTGGAATATTCACATTTCTTCCATAAAAGATTTAATACTTTGTTGGGTCTGAACGGACTTCCTGTTGGCCTTTCTACTTGTGGTTTGAATGGTGAACTTTTATGAGAGTGGAATAAGAAATAACAATTATAGATTCATTAATTAAAATTGAAGACACAATAAATAAAAATTGAAAAATATTTGGCAAGATGATGACTTTGTCTCAGGACACCTTCATATTAAATGCAATTTGTTAATTCTTTATAAGAATTTATTAATTAAAATTGAATGTTCAATAAATAAAAATTGAAAAATATTTGGGAAGATGAGGACTTTGTCTGCGATCATCTTTTGATTAAATACAATGTGTCAATTATTCACAAGAATTAGAAGTGTGCACGAATTTGTTAATAAAACGTCATTATTTAAGTTTCTTCCTTTAATAATTTTAGATATTGATTCTGTAAGACGAAATGATGACAATAAAATTGAAATGATTGTTAAAAGTTACAACTGATTTGTGATGTAATTTGAAAAAAATAATGGAAATATACGATATGTTTGTTTACCAAGCAAATGTTCAATTGATCTTTGATTCACCAATCTTTCAGATTTAAAATATTAGCCTACACTATTAACCGATTATCACAATTAATCAATTCAACAATCTCAAAGATTAGACTTCGTATAAATAAAATCGATTGCATCCGATAACACTTTGATCCATCCACGTAAGCCACAGTGATTAACGGTGATCTAATGAAATAAATATCCTTCATCGAGCCACCGTCGTTCCAATTCCAAAGATCGGAGGCGAAATAATTGAAAGCACGATCGTCCGTTTATCATGGTCACCGAACGCCTCCACGAAATCGGTGACATAAAATATTTTATTAATCATCAGTTATAGGGTCAAGGTGTACGAGCATACATTCAACTTATACAAATCGATCGTTTACAACAAACTCAGAAAACGGAATCGCGAAACGAAAGGCCCGAGGGATCACGAATGTCGGCTCCGTCTCGAAGCTGGGCTCGTGGACGCACCAGTAGGAGGCTCCCTAAAGTCCTCGCGTTGGACGAACACTGGCTCCTTTGTAGGAAAAGTTAGATTACATACGATACAATGTACACAATTCACGAGTCGCGCGCGCACGGTACGAGCAAGATATCCACCTTGCGAGCACCATTCATCCGTCGGCTAGGTTTTGTGCAGAGCTTGGTGTGATCATCGTGATTGGAACGTAGCCCCATATCCCCAATCGACGACGGTTTCATCTTCGGTCGGTTCACCCTCGTGGATAAATATCGCTCAGAATTCGTCGTAGCAAAACCGACCAATTCTGCGGCCCTCGGCAGTTTTTCGCGCCACAAATTACCCTTTCGTGGGCCCAAAATGGGGAGAAGGGGGATCGACGTGGACACGGGAGAACCTCGGTTATCCTCGGGGTTAAAATCGTTAAGTATTATTAGGACTATTTAAACGGATAATTAACGAACGTCTGAAGACAAAGATTTCATGGATGAGAAGATAACGGAGGCGCTGTCGTGTCCCTGGGTGCTTATGGACCGCATGGAGGGGGAGGGAAAGTCCTGTCTGAATAGCAGGAATACAAAGTCTCCTTGAGGAGATGATCGTTCGAGGAACGTCGAATTCAGTTTGAATCACAGGAGTTTCACTAGGTCCAATGTATCATCGGACCAATTCTATTACTACTAGCCTTGGATGATGTCCGGGCTTGAACAAAGGCGGGTGGAGTAGTTTCCGCGATCGTGGAGAAGTACACCTGGCGACATGCTTCGATTTATATACCTTGATCTCGTTGAATCAGTGGAAATTAGTTACCTAGCTCTAGGGTTCAGTTTAGTTGCCTAGCTCGTACTCGACCCCCAAGCGGTGACCTACCTTCTCGACCATCTAGCTCCAGGAAGACCCATCATCTTTTTTTTGAGTCACCCAGACCCAGGACAACCTTCCTCTGAGGTGATCTAGCCCCAGAAAGACCTACCTTCCAGGCTGACCCAGTCATCTAGCTCTAGGGTGACTTAATCCTAGAACGTTAAATTGCCTAGCAGTGGTGACTTATCCTTCAAAGTCACTTAGCCCTAATGGTAATCTGGTTCTCAGATTACCTAATCTTTAGTTTGATCTATCTTTCAAGTTATCTATCGTCCAAGTTGGTCTAGCTTCAAGTTAATCCACGACTATTGTAACCTAGCCCTGGAACGTTCACGGTTCCAGGCTGACCTAACTCCCCGATTGGCCTAACCCTGGAGCGCCCGGCCCTTCGTCTCGTCAGTGTATTCTTCACAGAAGAAATTTTACAATGGCTTAAAATTCAATTCTCTACTATAAAAAAAAAAAAAAAAACGAGTAAACATCGGAACAGCAAGATCTTTCTCTCTACGAGGTCGTCGAAACTCCTCCACCCGCGCGTTCCCGGACGACTAAAAGCCACCGAGGAGGGAAGCGTGTACTTAATTACGAAATCGCAGCGTGTGTATGTGTGTGTGTGTCTCGTTGTCGACGAGTCAAAGTGTGTCCTCTGTTTCTTCTTTCTTTTGTTTTTCGTTATTATTAACCGACTTGAGGTGAGCGGCTTGTAGCCTCAGCCACCCGGCGTATACGTTCGAAAAAACATTCGACGCGCTACAACGCGCGTCAGCTATTTAGTTTATTATAGAGACCGATTCTCTCGTTCGGGAATCTTGTTTACACGGCCAATGTCCCTCCCTCTCTGATCCAAAGGAGCGGGGCTTGTCCACCTGTGGGTCGGCGTAGAATATATTTCAATGTCGTGCGCACTAACGCGACACGTGGGAATGATTCATCCTGAGTGAGAGGAGCAGCGTGCATGTGTGTGGCGTCCCGATCAGATCAAAGAGGGACAGAATCGAGAGCCTTTCGCTTTAGTTTTGCGTGTCCTTCTTTCACGTATCTTCCG